GATTAATCTAATTATTGCATTGAGCTGTATTTAGTCCAATCAGTGGCGATGAAGATATTCCATAACTTCGCGAATAATTCAGCAAATGAAATAATTTTAATCAATTTTTAAGTTTTTTTTTATAACCTAAAAGTTCCATATTATAATAAACAACATATTGTATTTGTATCTTGACTATTAAAAAACTAGTGTTTTACTTCAAAATCATCCTTTTTTAGCTGAACAAGACATACAGTAGTGGACAAAAATTTCCATCCCGCTGTAACTTTACTAAATTTTCTTATAAAGGTGAACACTATTTTTTATTGTGTAGAAATTTATAGTACATTCTGGTCATCAATACAATATAAAATCACTTTGGCTTTCAACAACTTCAGAAATTCGATTATTCGTACTATGTACAAGTTTGATGGCCAACTCTTATTGTAGAGATCTTCCATTTGCATTTTATTGTAGAAGTCAACGATTGATAAGATGTGAGCCTTTTCCTTTGTAACTTAATTTTGAGAAGTTGTCAAACATTTTTTGATGAGTGCAAGATCTGGTGACATTGACGATCAATCAATTTTGTGAATCCCATTATTCAGTTTCTAATCGGTTGTTAGCTTCGATATGTGTTTGGAGTCGTTGTTTTCTTGCCATCTCCAATAAGTTGAATCGGGATCGAATTGTTTTTTGGCTGTTGATAAGAGATCACACTTATAAATGCCATACATCAATTTCGTATCCAGGTTCTTTCTGAAGCAGACGATACGATCGAAACCTCGACTTGAGAAGTAACCTTACACGTTAACTCTAGTAGGGTGCTTAACGGTTTGCAACACCTTCTTTTTTCCTAGCGTGCTCCAAACCAATCTTTTGATGGTACTCAGACAGATGAGAGTCTCATCACAAAATCTCACTTGATTCTGTTCGTGGCTTTATGATCTTGAGCCCATTTTACACGATTCTCTCAATGGTGTTCTGTTAGCACTCATTTTACCATGGATCGACTGTATTTCACTCTTATTTCGGTCAACCGTCGTCGCATTGTTCTCTCGTTGACTACGACTCATTTTCGTTTTAGTTTGTTTCCAATGCCCCGACTGATAACGATCATTTACTGTTCAGCAAGAGAAATGATATGTTGATCTTGTTTTGGGATGGTTGGACGTGGTCGATCCGATCGAGTTGAATCGCTTAAATCTTTTGACTAATTCCATCGATTGAACTAATATTTCTCTGCCACCATGTTACACTTGACTGTTTTCGCCACAGTCTTATAACCAAGCTTTGAACCTCATGGATGGTTAGAACGAAAGATGATTTCATATCGCTGGTGTATAGATAGAGCCATATTTTAGCGGTAAAACTCGAAAACGACGTATTTGTTGTTCTAGCTTTTAATATATTAAATTGGTCAATATGATTGGGTATTCTATGTTATTGAATTCATTCCATTTTGTAAGCACTATAAAACAAGAACAAACTAGTTAATCAATGAATAACATTCTCAGGAGAAATACAATCTGTTCATTATCAAGCACATACAAGTTCATATTATTCAGACAATTGAAGACATAAGCTAATAAAATGAGTGAATACAAATGCACTTATAGCAGATTTTCGATAGAAGAAAATACAAACTTACTTTTTTTAGACACTTTCCATAAGTTACTATAGACAAAAAAAATCTATTATCTATTTTGTATGACAAATAGATGTAATAAAAAAGAAGAGAGCAAAATATTATCTGATATTTTACGATTCAAGTCAATATTATGAAGAGTAAATATTTTTCTTTTGAGGATTGCTTGATATGTGTAAACTATTCTCAAAAGACTTCCCTGATTAAAATAAACGAACACACATAAAAAGCCATTTTACAATATGTTTTTTCTTACGTAAATGATTCCTTTTTTTAATAAATTTGAATACTATTAGTAATTTAATTCGATAGAATTCAAATAAAATGTGTCATTAGATAGCTGAAGATAAAAACTAACGTCATTACATCTTGTTATCAGAACATCAGCATATATAAAAGATACGTATTCTATTACATCTAAATAGTCATGAAGCTGTTTATCAGTTTTCTCATTATTAATTTCTTCATTATTGATGGTATTCAAAATGTACCTGTCATTCATCCAATTCATGTTCAAACAATTCCTTTACATCCGGTAACTGTTCGACTTACATCTGCTCAAGTGACAACCCGAAAGCCTATTATATCACCTGTCACTACTATTCATCCTGCGAAACATTCTTGGTGGTATTGGAGCAGTTCTACTCAATTTACCAATTTGATTTCATCTTCAGCATCATTTACAGTTCATTATTATTCATCATGGTGGGAGAAGTTAAGCATACCAACAAAAATTAGTCTTTATCTTTTTCTTGCTGTGAGTTTGATTGCTGGTGCATGTAAAAGTCTGGACAATGTTTGCAAATCATCGAAACAAAAACCACCGTGCAAGGAAAGCGGACTTCCTCTAGTAAAGAATAAAATTTATATTTCTACAATTGATGATAAACGTGAAGAATCACCACCATCATATGTAGAAATTAATAATGCTTGAATATTTCAAATAAAAAACACAAATAGTGATTATTTTTCTATATTTTGTGGCCTCTTATTTTTTTTTTACAATAATAAAATGATCAAACGATTGAATGCCTTTATCAATTAGAAATTCTTCCGTATGATAAAAAAATACAATTCAAAAGTGCTCAGAAAATTTAAATAGATCACAACATTATATTATTGATGAATATTGAAAAAGTTTTATAATTAGTTTATTGATTTTTATAAGTACTCATATCGAGAGAGATACATGAACGATTTTATATTAATAACAATGAGCTAAATTCATTGCATTCTCATCTATATCAATATCAGCAAGAGAATATACGTATATACTAGAGTAATCTATTTTTATTTATAAATAGAATTTTTTGTTTTGTTGTTCTATTCGTCTCTTTTTTCTTTTACGAATAAACACCGAAATTGCGTGCTTATATGTCAGTTGATACTTTGTTAAATGAGATTTTTCTATCCATTTATTATGTTGATTTACTCATGGACATACAATATTAAAACAAAAATGAAAATTTCTTGAATTCATTTAATTATATATTTAGGATATTATGAATCGATTGATTAACACATTAATACTACATAATGTTCTTTGTTGTCATTGTGTAACACATCTTTTGTAAAATTGATTTTATCTATTAAGGACTTTGAAAACATTTTACTCGAAACGAGCAACAATATGTTATTGATCAACGTATAGAAGAGTTCATTTTAAAGTAACGTTTTTATGGTAAAAATTAATTTTTGAAATAGAATTTATTTTGAGACGTTTATCATCAGTAACACCAATGAATATTTGTGACAAACGTTCATTTAATTGGTATAATTCAATGAAGAAAGGACAATCAGATTTTCAATTCGACAACTTGTATCATTTTCTTTTCCAACATAAAATCATACTTAATTTTATCAATCATGTTCTTGTAGACATTAATTATTATCGATGATTGCTGTCACACATATGAAAATTATCCTTTAATTCGATCCATTCATTATCTCTATTGAGATCATCAATGCATTTAGGACTGTGCATTTGAATTAACAGAATTAAAACGGATAACAGTATTAAATTCTATTAAAAATATAACATAGTATCAACTTTTTAAAATATTTTATTTACATATCAACAAATTTATCAATATGAATTAAATAGTGAAATTATCAATGAAATAACTGAAAATAAACTTTCATGATCAAAGTATAGTTAAACTTTACTTAATACTGAATAATATTCATTGATTTTTCTTATTTATGTGAGTATCTATCTGCTGCTATTGATTTATAGAATATTTCAGAAACAAGTAAATGGTCATTTCAAAAATGATCGACATCAATTTGAATTATTGTCATTTTCACATAGTGATAGTGATGCTGATGTAATCGAAGATGTTTGTCTTTTTTTGAGTTTAGAAATTCGTTTTTCTTTTCTTTGCCAAATAGTACTAACGAGAACCATGTATTTGTTTATGATATACGCATCTTCCATATGTTATTTGAACGGAACATCATACGTTTTAGCTCAACATATATGTCATTAGTGTCTTTATTTAGTTTCTATTATTATTCATCAAAAAATATCAACATTTAATAGCATAGCAAGGAATTTAAATAAATTATGATCATCTTATTTTTGCTAATGACAATTTTTAAAGCGAAAGTTCATCTAATGAACAAGATTAATTATATATTGTTCCCCGAGGATATTTTATTCATTTAACTTTTAATGCCAAAGACGGTATGGGTGTGGGTCGCATCTTGATTTGTACTCACGCTCACGCCCACACCCCCACTCACATCCCCCATCCACATCCCGCACCCACACCTACTCCACATCCTTCTACACGATATTCTGAATCTATCGAGAGTATCATTTGAATGGGAGATTTCAATTTTTTTGGAATAAAGTTTTTGGTGTTTTGCAAGAGGTTGATAGGATAGATAAGCCAAATTCTTTCAGTTCTGTTTGTTGACTTCGATGTGACGGGAGTGATAACATTTTCGCTTGCTGGCTGTTGATAACACACAAGATGAGTGATAACAATAAGTCAACGTTGGAAATGCTTTCTAATGAATTATTGTTGGATATTTGCAAGCATTTCACCGCTCGAGAGCTTTACCGTACATTCTACGGTCTCAATCATCGATTTAGATTGATTATCAATGGTATATTTGATCTTCATTTAACAATAACAGCTAATGAATGTCATGAACCAATCTGGTTGGCGTTTCATCGTGTCGTCAAACTCAGCATAGATTGTGTGAATCATATCGATCTCCGTCAATTTCCTAGTGTTCGATCACTGCAATGGATTCGTCCCTCCGATGTTCAATTGAAACAAATTTTTTCGTCTACTTATTTTCCTTATCTTGAACAGTTAAGTGTTTATGATATGCGTGATACACCATCGACTAGTCACTTTCATCAATTCATCTTCTCTAATGGATTTCCACTTGTGCACAAATGTAACTTGAGTCGTGTCGACATTAGCTATCCGTGGACGCTTTCACCTAGTCTGCGCGCCATAAGTATTGGCAATGTAGATGATTCTCGACTCTTCGAACGTCTTCTCGTCTCATGTCCAAATTTAACTCGTTTGGATTTGAATGGATTCAAACGCATACACATACCTTTACTTTCTTTTCAGCATACTAATCTGAAAAGACTTCGTCTAACTGGCATCTTGCCATCTCCGTCTGTCGATAATATATTAGCGGCGGTACCCACTTTAGTTCACTGTAATTTCAAATGGAGAGTACGACAACAACCTTTAATCTATTTCCAATATCTTAGTGATGCTTTCAATGTTTTTCTTCCTTATCTCAATCGATTCGATTTCGAATTTTTGTTTACTGGTTCATATGAAGATTTCATTAGAATCGGATCGACTTTAGAACAATTACATCCATGTTTCACACATCGCATCCAGTTTGCAAAGTTGAGCTATGGTCGAGTACGCATATATACCAAATAATTCTGTCAATATTTGATTATCTATAGTACCCTCCAATGAAAACAAAGTTTTACTTCGGATTTCAGCTATTCAATAAATGATGAACCATCTCAATGAATTTTAATTCTTAGGTTCAAATTCGAATGAAAGAATATTTGACTACAGATGGACTCTAAAAAGTACGAATGATCGAATTTCATTTATAAAGGAAATATACGCAGGATTTGGATAATTTTGGGCAAAATTTGTTTATTTAAATGGATTAATTATTCTAAGGTTTGTCAAATCTATAAGATAATGTGACACAGGTATGAAATAGAATTTGCAGATGTAAAAAGAAGTGATGTTTTGCTTTGACCATAACATATGCAATATCTTAATGTTAATTTGAAGTTATATTCTTTTTCCATTGGTAATTTGTAGAGTAATTTTGATAGAACATTGCAGTTTGGGTACACTAGCAAGCGACGAATTTAAGTCTATTCTTTCGCTGATACAGCGATTGCAGGATTGAAATGAGAACGTTACGAGGTATCAAGTCTGGGGGCATGGAAAATAATCCTTGCTTCAATGTGAACCAAGTGAGGAACTGTGTCAAGCGATTCAGTCAAATGTTCATTTATTTTTCGAGTTTCTATAATACAAGATCGATACCATTTGTGAGGTTACAGCTATTCAAAGGTTCACCGAAGGTTTACTTTTTGACTTTTTCAGCACAGCTGAATAGAGCTCGTCGAACTACATAGAAAAGCATCTATTCGATATTTTTCATACGCTTTTTCAGAGAAAAAGCTTCGCATTATCGTTCTTGATGGAAAAGACTTAAGAGTAGTGTTTGGCTGTACTGTTTATTTTTATTTCTAGAAATGATTGATTCAGGATAATCGTCATGCGAAATCGTCTACTCAGAGCGGATTTCATCGGAAGAAAACAAAAAAAAAATGAGCGATAATTCGATAAATTACCATCATAGTTGTTAGAACATCTGGTGACACTCACCAATGGACGTCATTACAAATATATCAAATATTTTCTAGTAGAACATAAATTGCGTTTCATTTCATGATTATAACTACTATACCTATGCAAAGAAATTACGTATCGATTTCCTATTATTTCATGTGTGTGACGAGAAAATCCATTTTCTCGAGGATCATGTTAATGTACTAAAACGACGGTTCTTTTTAAGATTCCTCTAATGCAAAATTTATTTTAAGAGTAAATGTATATGGTGTTTGGAAGCAGCATAAAAAACTAGGTCGCATAAAAGTATCTTATTGGGAAGTATTTTTCATCAAAGTTCGATCTGGAAGGATTATAGGCACATTTTATTGAGGACGAGTGCTGGTAGAATATCGACGAAAAATATAGTCCGATAAAATGTATGTCGCACTACCAAGTTTTTTATGCTGATTTCGAACATTATATGCATTTAATCTTAAAATGAATTTCGAACTAGAAGAATCTTCAAATAAATTGTCGTTTTTTAGTAAATCAGAACTATCTTCGAGAACATGGGATTTTCTCTTTATAGACATGTGGTAATTGAAAACCAACACGTAATTTCTCTGCATATGTATAGCGGTTATAATCATGAAATAAAATTCAATTCGTGTTCTACTAGTGAATATTTGATACATTTATAAAGAGGTCTGTTGTTGAAACAATTCTGGTGATTATCTGTCGAATAATCGCTAGTTTATTTTGTTTTCTTTGAGTAAAATCGAATTCTAGGTAGACAATTTTGCATGAAGATTCCGAGTCAATCGGTTCTAATGTAACGCCACGAGCTCTATCCAGCCATACCGAAAAAGTGGGAAAATAGATCTTCGCTCAACTCTTAAATAGTTGGCATCTTACGAGTAGGCATCTCAATTAGGTGGGCCAACCCTTCTCTTCAAAAAGATTGAAAAATCGTTCGACTTTCTGCCAAATTTTTCAATACGTTGTAGAAAAACTTCTAGAGTATGCTGGCAAACACTTGTTGCTAGGTGATTAGAATTGAAGAACGCGGCGTGAAAGGGATAATAGT